ACGATGGCTACATAGCCAACAAATATAGTTGCTCATCAATACTCTCATCACCCTGACATTCTTTTTGCATTCAGTCACTGAAAGTTTCCATGTGCTGATGCGTAATCCAAGCTTCAGACTTCCCTAGAAACTCGGATCGGAGCAACTCTTTATGTGTCTCGATATACGGATCCACCAAGGAGGAGTTTTGTAGAACTGTGTAGTGTGCTTTATTAAAATAATTGTCCGACGTACCAATATATGGTTTCTTCCCTAGTGTCCCCTTTCCACTTAGTCTCCCCTCGTGTCACGATTTAGGAAAACCAATCGGGTCAAGGTCGGGAATAAAGTCAACACAAAACTCAATGACCTCCTCTGTTCCATAGCCCTTGGCGATACTTTCTTCTGGCCGAGCACGGTTGTGAACATATTTCTTTAGGACTCCCATGAACCTCTCAAAGGAGAACATGTTGTGTAGGAACACAGGACCGAGAATGCTACTCTCCTTGACCAGGTGAACTAGTAGGTGTGTCATGATATTAAAGAAGTAAGAAGGGAACACCAACTCAAAGCTGACAAGACATTGAACCACATCATTCTGCAGTTTAGCTAGATCCATTGGATCGATTGCCTTCTGAGAAATTGCATTGAGGAATGCACTTAGCTTTACGGTGGCTAGACGTACATTTGGAGGTAGAATTCCTCTTAATGCAACTGAAAGCAATTGCGTCATGAGCACGTGGCAGTCATGGGACTTTCTTCTCTGGCACATTTATTATACCATTTATATTCGAGGAGAATCCAGATGGTACCTTGATGCTTGCTAGGCATTCAAACATGCTTTCCTTCTCTTCTTTGCTAAAAGTGTAGCTAGCAGGACTTAAGTAATGGCGCCATCATCTGTCTTCTCTGGATGTAGGTTGTCTCATTCTTTCAAACACCGCAGGTCCTGTCGTGCTTCAAGTGTGTCCTTAGGCTTCCCATACACACCCATGAAGCCTAGTAGGTTCACACAAAGATTCTTCATCAAATGCATCACGTCGATCGCGCTATGGACCTCTAGGACTTGCCAATAGGCTAGCTCCCAAAATATAGACTTCTTCTTCCACATGGGTCCATGACCGTCGGCGTCGTTCACAACAGGTTCGCTGCCATGTGCCTTTCCAAATACTACTTTCACATCCTTGACCATATTGAGTGCATCCTCACTAGTTCGGTTGCCTGGCTTGGTCTGGTGGTCTGTCTTACCTTTAAAATGCTTACCTTTCTTTCTTAGGGGGTGATTCGTAGGAAGAAATTGACGATGACCAAGGTACACGACATTTCGACATTTTTTCAAGAATATACCTTTAATGTCATCGAAACAGTGCGTGCATGCATTATATCCATTGTTTGATTGTCCTGAAAGATTACTTAGAGCAAGCCAATCATTGATTGTTACGAACAACAATGCTCGTAGGTCAAAGTGCTCCTGTTTGTGCTCATCCCACACACGTACACCTGGTCTGTTCCACAAAAGTAGAAGTTCTTCAACTAGTGGCCTCAGGTACATATCGATGTCGTTGCCAGGTTGTCTTGGATGAGCACTGGCATCATAATAAACTTACGCTTTATGCATAATCAGGGAGGAAGGTTGTAGATACATAGAGTAACAGGCCAAGTGCTATGACTACTGCTCTGCTCCCCGAAAGGATTCATACCATCCGTACTTAAAGCAAACCTTAAGTTTCTTGCGTCATTTGCAAACTCTGGGAATTCTCTATCGATTGCTCTCCACTGGGACCCATCAGCAGGGTGTCTCAATATATTGTCTACCTTACGGTCTTCTTTGTGCCATCGCAACAACTTTGCATGGTCTTTGTTTCTGAACAGACGTTTCAAGCGTGGTATTATAGGAGTATACCACATAATCTTGGCAGGAATTTTCTTCGTGGGACGTTCGCCCTCAACATCACCAGGGTCATCTCGCCTGATCTTATACCGCGATGCATGACATACCGGGCATGCATCTAACTTCTCGTACTCCTCGCCACGGTAGAGGTGCAGTCATTAGGACATGCATGTATCTTCTGGATTTCTAATCCCAAAGGACAGACTACTTGTTTTGCTTCGTACGTAGTGGCGGGCAATTTGTTATCCTTCGGAAGCATCTTCTTTTGGATTTTCAGTAACTCCCCAAATTCCTTATCAGATACACCATTATTTGCCTTCAATTGCAACAATTCCAGTGTGGTACCCAACTTTTTCTTCCCCGCGTCACAAGTTGGGTATAGCAATTTCTTGTGATCCTCTAGCATGCGCTCGAACTTGATCTTCTCCTTTTCACTTTTGCATTCTCATTGTGCGTCACGAATGGCCTGACCAAGATCATCAGCGGGCTCATCTTCTGCCCCTACCTCTTCTTCAGCTTCCCCCATTGCAGTATCATTGAAGGCACCATATTCAGCAATAATGTCATCATCGTCCCATTGTTCTTCTTCACCTTCTTCTATTATAACCCCGGTTTCTCCGTGCTTCGTCCAACAAATATAGTTTGGCATGAAACCCGACTTGAACAAGTGTGAATGAAGACTCCTTGAGCTAGCATATTCCTTCAAATTCTTACATATGGCACATGGGCAGCACATGAAACCATCGCGTTTGTTTGCCTCGGCCACACGTAAGAAAGAATGCACGCCCTCAATGAACTCTTGGGAGCGGCGATCAGCATTGTACATCCAATGCCGGCTCATCTGCATGACATGACATACATACCATATTAAAACCTAAAATATAATTAGTTAATTATACGACATGCATGCCACCACACAAGGTATTAATTTATGAAAGTCTCACTACAATGTAGACAATCCCAACTACCACTAAAAAAACTAAAGCTAAAATGCACTTCAGCAGTATAAGGATTTCGCGACCAATCCTAACTAAAACAGACAGATCATGCGCTTGTTCAACATCTATGGGCTTCTTCCGCAGGATCACTGCCTCATCAGCCGTCGTAGCCGTCTGTGTAAGAGAGTTTTGCACGTGTTCAACATACTCTTCCTCCCAGTACCAGCCTGAACATCCAATGCCATCCCACTGAAATTAAAACAAAAAATTAGAACTTTAATCACAATCATCATGAAAATAAGTATAAATTAACCATAATCATCAAATGCGACAAAATAACTCACATTACGATCCGGACACTTGTAGAAGATACGGCCCTTGTTGGGACACTCCTTCCTCACCCGGTACTCCATCACAATCTTCTCCTCACACTTGCCGCATGCAATGAGAGGGAGGTCCGGCCTCAGTCGCTTTGGAACCCGATGAGAGGCCGAGGACCCGGAAGCAGTTGTCATCTACTCTCTATACTCATTTTTAATATAATATAAATTTCTCATTTTATAAACAAATAAAATTAAAAAAACTCTAAAATTCTCTATATCTCTAAACCATGAAGTGTGCTATGCATGCTAGAAATGAAAGCTGAATACTAGTTTTAAATAACTACTTTAACCTTCCTTCATCCAAATATGCAAACTTTAAAGTGATTTTGAGCTTAAATGGCTTACAAATAAAAAAATCCACCATAAAAAACCACATATATCTAGTCCACAAAATGAGATATGCTACCGATGAAACATGAGAGTATAAAGTTGGTAACCTTTAGAACCGAAGAATCGATGGAGGAATCGAAGAAATCTTGTGATTACCGGCGATGAGGAAGAAGAGAGGCCGGCGATGAAGCAAGAACACTGAGATCGAAGTGGCTCGGGCTCGGGGAGGAAGAAGGGGTATATAGGAGGGGACATTTAGTCCCGGTTGGAGACACCAACCGGGACTAAAGGTCCCTTTCTAGTCCCGGACGGAGCCTCCAGCCGGAGTAAACTTTTACTCCCGGTTGGAGAGACCAACCGGGAGTAAAAGTTAACCTTTAGTCCCGGTTGGTAGCTCCAACCGGGACTAAAGGTCCCCTGCAGCAAAAGCCTATCGCAGTAGCCGTTTTGCAGGGTTTTAGTCCCGGTTGGAGCTACCAACCGGGACTAAAGGTTTCTCTAGTCCCGGGCATGAAAAATACCGGGACTAAAGCCAAATTTTGAAGTGGATCAAAAGTCGTTTCTCTACTAGTGCATGTATTCTAGTACCGAGGTACCGGTCACATCAACGCCACCTAGGATGCCCTGCTATGCACGGCCAAGCACCTCGGAGCCAAGATCTGTGGTGCCGAGACGTGTTACCTCAGCACCATAAGTCCTGGCGCCGACCCCCAGGGTCCAAAGATGAGTTTAAGTCTTCCAAGGGCAAAATATAAATTTTGTTAAAAAAAGATCAAATTATAAAAAATTAGACAGGGTCATCCCAAAGAATCCGAATCACACACCTCGTTTTCTTTGCGGTCATTATGCCAGATGAGATGCCAGAGTAAGTGGTCCAAACAATTAATTAACATCATTCCGTTTGAATGGCAAAAGCATATGCTGTAAGTCTGTAACTACCTTCCTCTCACAGAGTGATATTTTAGCGTTGTCGTAAATTAAATTATAGTATCTCAAGTTTGACTAAGATTATATAAAGATTATGAAAATTTATGAGACCAAAAAAGTATATATCATTGTATATTCACCATGAAATATATTTTCATAGTGTGCCTATTGTTAAGATTATATTCACCATAAAAATATTGATAATCTTTACTATAAACTTGATCAGATTGAAAATAAGGATGTACTAGCATTTGCTAAAAATAGCAGTAAATCGGTACCAAGGAGACATGTAGAAAAATTTTCAGGGACTACATTATCCTTCAAAAGTCAAACCTACTGGACGTGGACAACCAACATTGCAACCACATATATAACTCAAACGCGTACACCCCATGTCTACCTAATATGTATATTGCCTACGTGAACAAAATGATCAAACATGCATGTAATCGTAAAGAAAGCACGCGCGCGGCAGTTAATCAAACTCCGGCCATGAGCGGCAGCTGCATGGACGTCGTACGGTGGATGGCCGGCCGGCGACATGGGGGCTAGCTAGACGCCGCCGCAGCGGTAGGTGATCTTGCACGTCCTGCCGACCCTGACCACGTAAGTGTGCTGCGGCTTGACGAGGAAGGGGGGCAGCCGCAGCAGCGCCTCGCAGACGCAGTCCTTCTGCACCTCCTTGAGCCACCGGCAGCAGTCGCGGTACGCGCGGAGCTCCTCGTCGTGGTGGTGTTCGTCGTCATCGTCATCGTCATCGTCATCGTCATCATCGTCTTCGTGGTCATCGTCGTGGTCCGGGTCGTCAGTGTCGTGGTGGTCTTCGTCGTCGTCGTGGTGATCATCGTCGTCATGATGTTCGTCGTCGTCAGCATGATCATCGTCGTGGTCAGGATCGTCGGCATCATGTTGGTCGTCGCCGTCGTCCCGCAGACGCCCACGGCGGCCCCGCCCGCGGCCTCGACCGCGCCCGCGCCCGTGCCCGCCGCGGGTGCGGTTGCCTTGGTGTTGGTGGTGACCAACGGTGCGGTTCCCAGCGACGACGCCGTGGCTGCCGTTATTCCTCGCCATCAGGGCCGAGATGCTGACGGCCGCAGCGTGGTGGCTGCGACGACGGTCGCGGTCATGATGTTCGTCGTCGTCGTGGTCATCCTCGTCCTCGTCGTCATCGTCGTGGTGGTGGTGCTCGTCGGGTGGGCTCGGCGGCAGGATGGAGCAGGCCTGGCTGGCGATGGCGAACTGGCTAATGCAGAACGCCTTGGCGCCCTTGGTCGGCTGCGCAACGGCGAGGCGCGCGAGGAGGGACGGGAGGAGGAGGAGGAGGACGGCGGCGAGCACCGCGACGTGAGACGCCGGGGCCGCCATGGATTGTCTTGTGGCCTAGCAGCTAGATAGTGCTCGCTCAGCCGTTGTGACCTCCTAGCCTCTCCGGCTCTCCCTAGCTCGCTGGCGGCGTGCGACTTGTTTATATAAAGACATGGGATTATTTCAAGTAGTTGGGTCAGCCGCTGCACGGTCTCGTCTCGGTCTGGATTAGGTGCTTGCTTCCTGCTGCATAACCAGACTAGACGAGTAGGAGTAGGAGTGAGCGGATCATCGGTGCATGCTCTGAATTAGGTGCTTCATACCGGTGGCATGCATCGACCCAGGCCAACGACTTGTTGCCTCCTTCAGCGCATGGCCACCCTGTTTACATGCATATATACACAGGTACTGGTTTGCTGGTGAGAGGTTAGTGGCCCTTTGGTCATGCATGCAACTCACTTGTTTTTGGCTTTGATGGTACGTAGATGGATACTGGCATTCTAGCTAGGGGACATTGCATGTTAGCTCTCATATGTTCGTCGAAGACTCTTTTAAACAGGAGTACTTGAGACTGGCGCGGCTCCACAGCGCCATTGACAATACAGCCAACAAAAAAAAAAGAACAATAATGTACTTCATCCGTATAAATCATGAACAATAATATATATACCCCATCCGCTTAATAGCAGTTGTAGTTCTACCTTTGTTATTTGTTCTAAGCGAAATATTTCAATTCTATCTTTGACCATAAATTTTCAAGATTCATATAGTTTAACAACACGCGGATTATACTTTATGAAAAATATTACTCATGATTCATCTAAAAACATAAATCTTATTATGATGAACTATGTTAAATTTCTAGAGACGAATGGTTAAAGATAGAAACGTTTGACGACTTTGGACAAATTTAAATCAAACACCTTTCAGAGGTCATCACAGATACTAGTCGATCGTCACATATATGATCTTAAATCAAATAAATATAAGCTATAAGGAATAATTTTTCATTGTAACACCAGTAGTGTTGTCAATCTCTGGAAGAGTAATAAGCTAAAATAGTTCGACCAACACCAGCCACAAATTAAATGGAACTTTATTTGTGATCACAGGAAGTACCACGTAACATTAGATTTTGTAGTTTTCTAGGGAAACAATAATGATCAATCGCAAGTCATTAGTTCCGCCATATGTACTTGCTCTATATACATACACGAAAATAGGGTTGAAAAGAAGTGAACATCAAAGCTGAAACTGTCCAGATGCAAGGAGTGAGTGATCGGACAGGTCACCAGCAGGTGCAAAATGATTTGTATTTCACTCTCTTTTGGCATATATGTACGCTGTACTCAAACAGTCTCGGCAAGTCATCAGAGCAGCTGGCTGTCGTCTGAGGCCAGAAGGAATTCAGGAATGGGCATGAGCAATGAAATCGAAGACTCTGGCACTAACAAATACAATCTAATAAGACTACAATCGGTTGATAAAAGACATCCTATCCCTACAACTCAGCTCTGCATGTGGTCGCACAGTCTACCCCTAGGATACAACAGCACTTCAGGCAGACCGACTGCCATAGAATCCTTGAGATACATATGTACAAGGAGGCAGGTACAGCTCCCACTTTCCTGGAGTGTTTCGTTTCTGCCTTAATCTGAAGCAGAGACACCAGACTCTCCCAGGTTAAGCCCCCGCAGACTAAGAAAAGCATCAGCACCTGAAACAAACGGGATGTCAGATGAAACAAAGAGGACAATACCTTGTAAACCTCAACAAAAGCACTGCCAATGTAACAAATAGCCTACCACTTCAATATTGCAAAAGGTTATCTAGGTCTCCATCCACCATGTCCTGCAGTACGAAAGGTGCATTTAGTATCCACAATTTTTACTCGCCAAGAAAAGGGAATGTGAGAACTCAGAAGCTTTCTTTCACAAATACCCAGTGGCTCTTATTTTAGCATCTCACAACAAACATATGAAATAAATACAACTTTGTTATTAACAAGTAACAGGAATTATAATTAGTGGACTACTGATGAAAAGCTACTTTTCAAAGTAAACATAAAATGGAGAACAAGATTCTGATCCTATTCAACAAAACTATGGAACTCTTTCACGTCGTTGCCACCTGACTTTTCGCTGAAGCTCGTGAGTGAAGCCTGAAAATCCTCTACCTTAGCAAGAAAATTATACTCCATCCCAAAACATAAGGATTTTTTTTTGTCATAAAAGCTTTTAGTTTAGTATTAACATCTACAAGTTCATAAATATTACTGTTCTTTTTTATAAACTTAGTATAGTTTGACTTGGGACAAACCAAAGTCCTCAATATTTTGGGACTGATGGACTAGCAATTCTTTACAAGACCGGATTTCAAGAAACAAATATTAATAGGAAATGGAAGCAACTTTCATTAAAAAGCATATATATCAACACATGTTACATACCTCCAGCTGCATGTGAAACTGGAGGCTCCACAGAATGTCTTGAGGGAGAATAGTTATTAGATATCCTAGGCGGCCTAGACCACCCTGCACAAGGCCCTGGTGGAGGATCTGAAGGTCGCCCATAGTGCATTGGGGCTGGTGGAGCTTCAAAATGGTCAGGAATCGGAGGAGGTCCTGCTTATGACTCAACAACAAGACAAATCAACTCAGTGCTGGATGTAGATGATCATATAACAAGCAATAGCTCATTCCTTCAAAAGCATTAGCATATCTTATTTTTATTAGGGTACCTTACAGCATGATGACCATGATAAATAAGAAGAGATTCATGACCATGGCAAGAAGTGTACCTGGAGGAAAAGGATATCTTCCCCTGTCAGCAGCCTCATTGTGCATCGGCCCCCTAATAGCTCTCTCATCGAAGTGATGTTCTCTGTCATCAAAATGATGTCTTCTATCATCGAAGTAATGGCCTCTATCATCATAGTGATATCCTCTATCATCAAAGTGGTATCCTCTATCATCATAATGTTGTTGTCTGTCATGCCCATGATGCCTTCTATCATGTCTGTGATGACCTCGATCATGTCCATTGTACCGATATCTCTCAGGATAAGGTGGACAGTTATTACCCCAGTGATGTGGCCTATGTTGGTGTTCTGGTGGCACAGAAGGGAATTGATTTGGAGGTGGTGGAGGGGGTGGTGGTTGCAGATGATATCCCTCGTTAGGCATTGTTGTGGCTGGAGGCCGATGATAGTTATTCCCATGGTATGGTGCTGGGGGAGCAGGGAAACTACCATGGGGACCAGGAGGATTGAGTGGTGCCATTGGTGGGGGAGGTGGTATCTGATTTGGTTGCCCTCCATATCCCGAATTATTAAAAGGTGGGGGTGGCAATGATGCAGCAGAAGAATTCATGTTACCTGGGTGCTCTGCAATTGAATGCGGTTGTTGACTTTGAACATTCTGTAAAAAAGAAAAGAAAGAAGTACCTATTAGGTACATGACATTATGATTGCATAATCTCTTCTTGCACAGGAACAAAATATACATACATATGTAGTTCTTGGAGGATGCGGCCCAATGGGATCAGATGCCATTTGTAATTTAGGCTGCATCTGCGCACTCTGAGGAGGAACGGGGGCAGGTGGAGGAGGTGGCACAGGCGGAGGAGATGATGGCAACGGCGGAGGTGATGGAGGCCAGTCCACAGGAAGTGGAGGGCCAACATCTGAAGGCCGTTGATCAGATGGTGCACAATTGGTGTCACTTTGCTCTGGTTGGCATTTGGTGGTTGCTTCAATATCAGATGGTGGAGCTACATCCTCCATCTCAAGCTCACCATCAACCTCTTCAAGAATGTGGTGATGCTTCTCAACAGGTATTTGAGATTCTTCATTGTCATCATTATATGGGGCATCCTGTTCAGGTGTAACAGCTTCAAAGCTCAAGCTCCTATCTTCAGAAGAGCTTTCTTCCTCTTCTTCAAGTACTTTTGTACAAATTAAGTTGGGTAGCTGAAAACCAGCATTGCTGTTGACAACAATGAAACACACAACCATGAGGCAAATAGACGAAAGTAGGAGAAACGCTCAGGACAAAAGATGATGTTACATGCTCTATGTGCATAACTGATTTGTTAAAGTAATAAGGCCAAATTGAAAGGCCCACTAGGACCCAAGATGCCACAGATGCAGCTCCGCATTGCATGTATCATGCATGATCGTAAACACGTCATCACATTTTTTTCTGCCATTTGTGTTCCATATCTATTATAGAAAGGTTGTTTTATGGGTATTGTTCAGTCTGGACTCTTAAGAAACTTTTCTAAGCGCTCCCTTGTATTTCCAGTGATAGCTCTGTTACATTTTTCTTAGCTGATGTACAAGTTCAATAAAGGGCATACCCAGTGCAGAGTATAGCAAAAGAGGGCAAGCAAAACAATTTAACTGCTGGAGATTTTTTTCCCAAATATTTGCTAATTCTTTGTCGGTACTAGTACCAGTTACCAAAAAACCAAAATAGCACATTGCTTAACAAACCAACTTACGAAATATCTACACCTAAAAACGACTGTAACATCATCGTCTACCCAGTGATACCAAGTCTCGATCCCTGCTCACGCGCCTGCGTCCGATACGAATCATCCTCCACTCGGAGCTCATGCGTACGCATCCCACCCGGTTCCGATACAAAGACTAGATCCACGTGTCCATGTCCGATACGAAGTCCTTGGAGCTCACGCGTCTACGTCCGATTACTGGGGTTCAGTTCAATAAATTGTGGCCCCGGTGCAACGCACGGGCATATATCTAGTTATAAAAGAATGCCCTAATGGGTTTGTATGAGCAAAATCATGGACATGAGGATATAAACAAAGATACCCTAATCAAACCTACCTAGGGCTAGCACATGATTTTTTTTATGGACGGTGAATTCATATAGTTCTTGCCCTGATTGTGCATTGGGACACAACAAATAAAAGATTATTGCATATAGAGAAAATAATTGAAGAAGTTGCAAACATAAGACACTATAGCATATATCTTAAAACCATTTTTCAATTCCAAAATACGAAAGTAGGCTGCCAAACCTCCAATTCTCATATGTATTTGTAAGCAACAAATAGAAAACTAGTGCTTATTGCATGATAACATGCAAATGACACAAGCATGTAACGCTCACACTCATATAGCTTTAACCATTTTCATTACAGGAACATAATAAAGGGATAGCACCATACCTCCCATACTCATCAACAAGCATTCCTTCATTGTCACGCAAAGGGTCATTTAGAGCTCTCTCTGTTCTTGAAGGACGGCGAGAACTTCCAAATGATGCCTCGTTGATAGTCTCAATTTCTCTAATATGGTGACGGATGACATATTCTGAAAGTGTTTTCCTTTCAAGCCAAAGTTTCAAAACCTAATAATTAAATGACAAATTTGTAAGCAGCAAAAGAAAAGGCAGTGCAGCATGTGATGTCTACTCTCAAGACCATCAAATGTACTTACCTTGAGACATTGCTTTCGATTCTCCCATGCTGAGTTTCCAGGAGGTGCAGCAGCATAGAGAATTCGAGGTAGAACTGCCTGAATGAGAGAGGGATATACATCTCCAGCTCCACCTGCATAATTTTTAATGTAATCATAAATACCATCATAAAAAAATAATAATGAACCAAAAATGGGAAGGCTAACACCTACCTTTCTGATTGCGGGAGCATTGTGTTATTGAATCTACAAGAAAGAAGAGATCCACCCTCTTATATAAATTTGATTCCTTTTCCAGGTGTTCAACGATGATGTCAATTGCCTAATCAATCAAACAAAAAAAAAGGCATCAGAAAATTTTGATATATAGCACTTTGGTGGAAGAAATAAGGGCCATATGATTCTCTTCATAAGCTGGATGCAGGCAGCATGCACGTTTATGTAAATTTCACAAACTAAACTAGAATTTGTAAGTGGCATGTCTGACAGGATTATCACTTGTTATTTCCAAGTCCTCAAGCTTATGATATGGTTCCTCATACTATGTCTAAGCAAGTAGAAAAATATCAGAGATGGCTCTCTTAGGTAACAAGCTACATACATCAAAATGAAATGTCTGCTCCTCAAGTTAGCCGTAAGGCATATAAAACACATCATCACTAGAGTAAGAAAACCAAGAAACGAAATCTACGCTAATCAATCCACCAAAAATCCAGTATATCGAACAAACCAGCTACATCAAAAAAAAAATCCAAAAGCAAACAAATCAAGACAATCCTAAAGAAACATCTAGTCACAGAGCATGAACAAAGAACTAGGAGTCTTATGGAAAACGGTTTTTTTATGTGAACAAATACAACCAAAAGGAGGGATATGCAGAGTCTAACCTCACCAGCAATGCCAAATTTAGCACACTCAATAGCAAGACGTGTCGCGCGTGATATACTTTCTTTGGTTCTTGTCAATGTATTGAGGAAATCTTTGAAAGACCTTCGTGCTGCATTGGCTTCATCATGCCCTGCTAATTTCTTCGGTTGAATATTATCAAAAGGACTCCTAGAATGAACATTATCATTTCCAGAGGTGGGCCTGAGTATCCGATTTGAGGGTGACAACTGCCTGTGTGATCCTTCCTTGGGAGGTGTATTTATTGATGTCTCAGGAATATACTTGGCATTTAGGAAGTTATCTGGAAAGGAAGTTGATCGAGAAAACCTTCTAGCTTGTGCAACAGCTATAAGTTCTTTCATTGGCATTGAATCTGGAGAAGTGCTCCTGTCCTTAATTTTTCTATGGTTCAGTTCTTTCAATGCCAAAGATGAGAACGTATGCCTGCAAGACAAATAAGTACAGTCATGCCTTATCAGAAGGCTGCTTTGTAAATTTATGCACCAAGTTGGAAGGTACAACAGAAGATCACAACAGCAAGACAGCAGCATGTTCAGGAACCTAATCTACAATATCCCTACCTCTGTTTCACTATATTTTATCCATAGCAGACCAGGTGCACTAAATAAGTAACAGGTCCAGGAAAAAAATAATGTGAAATGACTATCTGTACCCATATTAAATGTTATGATATAATCATTTCTCTTCTATCAAATCATTTAGTTAGGGGAAGGGAGTGGAAGTATTGCAATAACTACACCCTCAGTCATATCCTCCACAGACAAACATTACAGAACATTTTCTGCCAAAGCCATGTGCAAAAATAGTAAAACAAAGGGAAGCAATAAATACTCTATAGAACTGTAGATATTGCATTCAGATTTCATAGAAGAATTACTTTAGCTTATGCTTCACAAGTTCACAGTTTGATTGAAATGAACAACAAAATCTACTCTCCATCCATTTTACAATATTTGTCCAAATTCTCAGGAAGCAGCGTCTCAAAAATGTTTGTGCATCACAAAAATGTTTGTATTTTTAAAGAAAAAATTAAGTGCAATAACTCCACTCCCCACCCCTACTTTAGTACTGTGAAGACAAAAAACATGCCGGTTGATAGGGCCAGTCATATCTAATAGGAGAATGTGTACTCATCTTCTTTTTTTTCCTTACATTAGTGTTTCCTTGGTTTGTGCACATGTTGGGTTCAGATAAAAAATACGGGAGTACACCTTCAGGATAATAAAAATTAGATTTTAGTAAGTGGATGGCAGTCTAATATGTATGACAGAAGAATCATGATCTTAGGAAACCATAAGTGAATATAAAGGTTAATACAGTACTTTCCATTCTTGTAGAACATCATGCTTAAGCTTAATAACAGCACAACACAAGAGCTCCAAAAAACATAGGAACTTTGAAGGATTTTCAGTTCCTATAGGAAAAAATCCTATGAAGCCCTTTGGAACAAAGGAATGCTTCCCAACAATTTCTTTGAAATTCCTATGGATTGAGAAATAGGTAATTTTGGAGGAAATAAAACATGAGGTACAACCTCATTGTTTTGTTCCCTATGTTTCTCCTACATTGCTTCCAAAGGCATCTTCCCAAACCTTCCTTTGTTCTGAAATCTTGTAGGATTTGAAGTGTTAGGGCATTTCACTCCTACTTTTTTCCTATTCCTGTGTTTTGTAAATCCTTTGTTTCGAAGGGGGGCTAAACAATGGATATTTTCATGCTTCAAGCATGTCCCAATAATAACAAAATTGTGCTCTGCAAAATTAATCTCGGCTAGCTCAAAAAACCTATCAATTAGCAGTGTCCAGATATAGCATCTGGTGCACAACGAGGTAGAAAACAGCGCCCAGCTATTTCATATTTTTTAGAAAGAATTGTGCAGCATAAGTGAATAGTCCACAGATATCCATCACCAAAATTATCACGACACAAGCACTTTGACTATTATTTGTAAAAAAACAGGGAGACTAGTTTTCAGAGTCCTAAACCATCACATAGACCTAGTTTTGCATATGCAATTTCAAAAGTAGACATCTTTGGTGAAGTAATCATCTCACATCATCCAGAAAAAATGAGAATGCCCATCATAACACACTTGGGAAAAGATGCATGTCAAAAATAGAAATGGCACATGCACCAAAATTGCAAAAGAGCAACATAGATATGTAGGTGCAAAATACATCATATATTCATGTTAAAAACATTAAAGGTAACATCAGCATAAAAATAAGATCTTAGATCTTACACTTCAGATGTCCGGGTGTCTGCATCGGATTGTATACTGGATGATTTAGTAGCCAACGAAGAGTTGCTTGCCGTATCCCCCACATTGTTCACTGAATCCACTACAATAGTCTCACTATGTTGTATAGTGTTGCTCATCACATTGTTGTTTGAATGGTCAATTGGTTCTGCACTTCTGTCAACATCACAAACAGCAGAGCCAAATGGTTTCGTCTCTTTGACACCACTTGCTGACACATTTTCACTGGCTTTCTCCAAAGATGAAGACAACCGGTCAGGTACAGCTGTGGCTTGTGTAACATCAAGTGCAGGCCGATTCAATTTCATACAAAGGGCTGAAGTTTTCCCACAGGAATCATTATCTAGTTCACTAAAAACACAAGAACCATTGGCCGTTTTAGTATCCATGAGGGTTTCTTCACAGGAATCATTTTCTCTTGAAGGAACTGAAGCAGAATCAGGAATGGTGTTATTTTGTAAAATTGATTCTGAGGTACATTTGCCCGATGGGTTATGCACGAACTGTGTGTCTAAAGAAGGTTCAGGGCTTTGAACTATTACAGGATTATTGGATACTGTGACTACTGCATCTGCAGATTTATTAGAATGGCTGTTTGCTGTCAACAAAGAGCCATTTAGAGCCATTTCATTTGGTCCTGTCACTTCAGGTATATTGTTGATATTCTCAGCAACATTAGCACACATCGCTTCTAAGGCACGATGAAGGCGTTTTGAAGGAGGCAAAGCAGCTTCCACATCTAATGCTAAAATTTTTGGATGGTATTCTTTATTCTTCCAAGGAAGATGAGCTTCCTTTGACAGGATAGTTGTGTCAAATTTGCAGGACGGATTAGAAGCAGAACTTACGACTGTGGACACCTGATCAGCTGAGTAATCATTGGCAGGACTTGCAGGTTTACCATTCCTATCACATTGGTCCAAGGTTGTTGCAAGCTCTGGCTTCTTATTAGAAGCATCAATTTCATCAACTAGTGAATCCTCCAACTGAGACCTTCCCATTCGGACCCTTGCCCTTTTGACCAATGGCAAGTGCTCATCTCCATCTGACTTGCTTACTTCATTCTTTGAATTTGGAGAATCTGGAAGGATTTCACTGTATTCAGCATGTAATTGCTCATCTTTATTTGGTGTTGTACAATCTTTATAATGAGGAACAGGTTTTCTATCTGATTTTCTTTTTCTCGTGAAAATTACTGCTGTGTTTGATGTGCCATTTGATTTCAATTCTGTCTCTGAAGTTCCATTTTCAGATGCTTCACTGTTACAAGTACTATCCACCTTAGCAGGAGGATTAAACATTCTGTTGCTGTTACTAGCCCCCAAAGTTGGTTGGTTGGAAGTGCCTCCGCCAGAATGCAACCAGACATTATCTGATGTAGAAACAGAACCTGAGTTAGCTTTGTCATCCTCATGCCTATGACGACTGGAACGTTCCTTATGTTCACCAGGAACCAAATCATTAGAAGCCAAATTGGTATGATCAAAAAATTTACCAGAACCTTGAGCCTTTCTCGATTCCACACTTATTGAACTTCTTGACTTCCGCAGAGATGGAACCCTACTACGTGTGTAGCAATTTTGTGGCTGTGCATCCCTTTGCTTATTTGAAAATGAATTAGTACGCAAAGAAATATCCCTCATTTCATCAAGGACGGATACATTTTCAGCAGGCTCAGGGGCAGAATTTACAACACAGCGCTCGTCACCCATTATAGTGACTGAAGGCCTGTCAGAATTGACCATGTCATGTCTCCTGGTAGTGACATAATGATCTTCTATCTTTTTATCATTGTGCATATAAGAGCTACTGACCAGATTTTCAGTATCCATGCAGCTATTATTTTCAGCAAACTTTTCTACGCCTGGCTTTACTTCTTCGGCAGCCAAGTCAACCTTGTTATTACCTTTATCCCTTAGAGAATCATAAACTTCAATTATCTCATCAACTGCTCTCAGGAAATCAGCCCCTTTACCATGTCGCTTAGCAAGCAGAGATCTTTTTTTCTCTTCAGTGAATGCCTCGAGATCAGCATAATTGCAGAAAGCACTGCAATAGAAAGAACTAAGAGTCACAAATAACTTACAGGTTGAAATGGTTCTAAAACATGATTTACTTTTTGAGAAGGAACTACCAAAAAATGCTAATATAAGCTAATCAAAAGTAACAATACTCAGATGGTTCCAAAAAAGAGGATGTTAAGAAGATACAAAAGAAACTCACAAATTCAAATAAAACTGAAAATAGCACTTACATCTGTTTAGTACCATAGAAATAAACCAGCGGTTTCTTTTTAGTAGAAGGCATCTTCCACTGCTCTGGTTCACTAATCTGCAAAAGTACGAATATTCACAAAATGAACTAATTTCTTCATATTCCCTCACGAAAAAGGTAACTTCTGAAAGTGCAAAATGGAATTTCATACAAGCATACGCTCACATGAATACCAGCGCCCTACTAGGGTAGCCAGACCTAAAGTACAGAGAAATAGCACGAGTAAGCCTGTGGCATTTCATGAGAGTCATCTCCTCTGATAAAAAAAAATATACAAACACTTTTAGGTTTGTCCTAACTCCTAAGTCAAACTTCTTTTAACATTGACCATCACTATCTATAGTTTTATAGATAACACAAAATTGGCATTACCAGATTAATTATGAAAAAGTATTCATGGTATACAAATCTTCGAATTTAAGATTATATATTTTATAGATATTACTAGTTGAAATGTCATATTGGAGAAAATGTCGATGTCCAAATAGGGTTATATTCATGACGAGAGTAAGTATACCAGTTGAACTTAAAATAAAGCCCCAAAAGAAAATGAATATACTGGGAACCATAATCACTCTTAGGAAAGTGTCCACAACAGCTACAGAGCAGACAGAAAGTTAACAGTATACCTTTTCGGTGAATACAGGATGAGAGAAATTTTGCAAGGATATCGATGTAACATGAGTTTTGACTGGAAGCACTCAAGCATTTCACCTAATAGTTAGGGCCTTAGGGGGCAGAATGCAAAGAAAATAATGACACACTATTGAGACGGAAACCATCACTTAATCTAATCAATCTGTCATGTCAATAATGAACAGTATATTTGTAAGTGTTTATTGTCCAAAATCACCCATAGCGTGCTTCCCAACATAAGAATGGCCAAGCCAACATATAGCAAGTAGTGATGTTCAACCAAGCTTCTTGAGTCCATTCTATTTGTTCAGGTAAGGAATTGTGGGAGGCTGCATTTGGCATCACAGCACAGGACAGAAGATGATGCACTTGGTTCCATCCTAAATACTGGTCATTTCAGCAAACACAGGCTTAATACATCCCCTGACATTCCTGTAGCAGTCAATGCCAAGTTGGCAATGGCCCAAAAACATCACATACGGAGACTGAGAACTACCCGTGTGCTCTCAAGTTCAGACTTTCCAACATCTCAATCCAAACCCACACACTTAAGTCACAGCATTATGGGCCCTACATTTATCTTACTCTACAATCATAGTAAATAATACATGCAGGACAAGCTTTTGTAGTGTTTTACAATCCCTTTTTGCAATATTTGGACATATGCACCGCCAATTTAAACAAAGCAAATGACTAGCCATATATTTTTGTTTAAATTAACTTCAAAAAATAATCTGCCTAATGAAATATATTTAACATATCTATTTTCATGCAATGGAACAGAATACAGGAATGGCGCATTACCAAAACATTCCATCCCAGAAACCAAACATAAGACTTACTGAAATAAATCAACAATTATGTGTTCAAATGTTCAATTAGGGTGCTGCGACTAGAAGGATTAAGAATACTTGCAAAGTGGTTTAACAAATGTGATGAGAATGAGAAGCGTTTTTGAGTGGAGGAGAAATTATAAAGAAAAAGAATCACAGCAAAAACTAGAACAACCTATAGGGCTAGAAAATTGAATTAGATCTTTTGTATCACCAAACAGTCATATACAAAGTCAGAAGAGCTCTATAAACTCAGAAGAATCTGCATGAAGTTGCTAAACATATGACACCTGTGGTGTGACTACCAATACCAATACGAATAGAGGGCATCTTTTAGCTTGTTTAACCCTTGGTCCGAATTTAAAACAAAACATGAGAGAACATTTAACGCGCACTTAGTTGCAGACCACTCTGTAGTATAGAAGCACGCATGCATATAATATTTCGCATAATATGAACACCATACACAAAAACAACAAATCTTATGCTATTTTTCCCACTGCGGATGAATCCGAATTTCATTACTGAAAAGCAACGAAATTAAAAAAGTTTGATGGCATTCAAGAAGAAAATCTTATGCTACTTTAGACGTGATAAAAAATGAAATGACAAAGTGCCGCCTTGTAGAACCTAGGAAGCATCAGATATCCTGGCATCTGTAGTTGTAAACAGGAAGTACAAAGAGCAGCCAGATCCCCAAGAACGAAGTCCATATCCTTAAACAGTTAACCACTACAATAAGCTATGAAATCCATAGGTCAAATTGGGTCGAAATCTTACTGCACATCCAAACACAAGGAAGATGGCCCCTAATCAGTAATCGCCCAAATCCTACCTAGCCCCCATGCCATAAACCACAAGTAGCACCAGATCTCTACAAGAACCCAACATCTAAACAAACAAATCACCAAGAAATGAACCAAGCTAGGCCAAAAAATGCAGTAGAAATCAGCCCCTACTCCCTAAAGCTCAGCAGAAAGTAAGGGAAAGGGATTTCTTTTACTAAAGATCCTATCTTTTTTGAGCATGTGGTGACCAAAACCCTGCTCGCACAAATTCCCTGCGCTATGCAGCAACAGGAGGGCAAAATTAGCGCAGATTAATAGCTAAAATGGCCAAATCGGGGTAGGAGACCATGTGAAAACCTAAGATTTAACCAAACCGACCGCTGGGCAGCCCCCAGACACCGGCCTTCCGCGTCCCCCACCAAACCCTAAGCGAGAAACCCCCGCCCAGACCCAGAATCCCCGGACCCCCAGGCTGCGCAGGCCAGAAGGAGGCCACAGATCAGCGAGCAGAGCAGAAGGAGCTGTTGAGACGACGCACTCACCATAGCCGGCCAGGCCGGGAAGCCCTTCATCTTGGCGAGCACGAGGTCGCCCACCTTCCACTTGGCCGCGGCAGCCGCCGCCGCGGCCGCCGCAGCCGCTGCGCGCTTCCTCTTCGCTGGCGCCATCGCCCCGCCACCGCCAACGCCCCCGCCCGTCTACCAGCCCGCCGCCGACCCCCGCCCAGCAACGATCAGGGCTCACAGGGAGACCCCGCGACGGCTAGCGCCTGCGCCCGTGGAGCGGCGGCGGGTCCGCAGGAAGCCAGTGCTCCGCCCGCCCGTGGTCCTAGCTCTCTCAACGGCGGCGGCGAGGAGCGGAGGCATGGGAGGGGGGAGGGGGAGCAGGAGCAGGAGCAGGAGAGGAGAGGTAGCTTTGGGGATTTTTATTTTTTTGGTTCTCCTCGCGTTTTTTAGTAGTTTATTATTTACTCGAGCCGTCGAGCGTGCGACTGCGCTCGCGCTGTGCTGTGAGAGGGCGCGGGGTTGGTAGTTCGGTGGAAGAGGGAAGGGCCAAGGAGGGAGGCCGGAGGAGGGCGTGGGAGGGATGAAGAAGCGGTGGCCTGCTTGAGAGGTGGGGTGCGCGTGACCAGGGTAGACATCATAAGTGAGACTATCATTACTAGATGAGATGAAAATAAAAATATTATAAAAAGATTAGTGAGAGGAACAATGATAAACATAGATAGTAATTCATTAATTATATCACAAGTTAAATCTACATTGCAAGTTTCAACATGCTTCTTTTTAGTTTACTCATCAAGCAAAGAGAAATGAACATTTTCAAGCTTTTTGTGAGTTTTGCCAAGCTTCTCATTGGCTTCCTCCAGTCTCTCATAAGATACATTGAGCTCATCAAAAGCTTGCTTAAGGGCTTTTAGTTTCTTACGTAAGCTTTTGCATTCTCTTCTCTTGATGTTAAAATGTTCTTTAATATCTCCTAGCATGTCAAATAATTTATCCATAGTAGGTTTATCATCATCACTATCACTATTATTTTCATTTTCATTTTCATTATCATCATCATATTATTCATCACTTTCATCATCACAAGTTTGTACCTTAGTGGCCTTAGCTATGAAGCATGATGAAGAGTCGAAGAGAGAAGGCTTCTCATTGATAGCAATGCTTGCAAGAACCTTCTTCTTGGTGGCCTTGTTATCATCACTATCGTCATCATCATTATTTGAGGAAGCATCACTATCCCAAATGATCACATATGAACCACCCTTCTTTTTCTTGAAGGTCATCTTGTCCTTCTCTTTTTTTTCTTCTTGTCCTTCTTCTTGTTCTTCTCCTTGTCATCATCATTGTCGCTATTGTATGGATATTGAGCAACAAAATGATCTTTGCTTTCACACTTGAAGCATCTTCTTTGTTCTTAGATGAAGACTTCTTTCTTCTAGCACGGTAGCCCTTCTTCATAATAAACTTGTCAAATCTCTTGACAAAAAGAGCCATCTTCTCATCATCATCATCATTCCATGAATCATCTTCTTCACTAGATGTTTCTTGCTTAGCTTTGCCCTTCGATGATGTGGCCTTAAATGCCACACTCTTCTTCTTCTCATCCTGCTTCTCATCTTTCTTCTCTATCTTTTCTTCCTTCTCATCATCATCTCTATATGTATCATCGATCATTATATCTCTCAATACTTGATTTGGTGTCATGGTGTCCAAACCACTACTCACTAGAATAGTTACCAATGTGTCAAATCTTGAAGTCAAGCATCTCAAGAACTTGTGGAAGAAGTCCTTGTCCTTCACCTCTTCTCCAAGTGCTTTGAGATCATTAACAAGCACTTGAAGCCTATGAAACATCTTCGGCACACTCTCATCCTCCTTCATCTTGAAACTTGCAAATTTCTCTTTGAGAATGTATGCCTTTGCATCCTTCACGGTTTGAGTGCCCTCAAATGATTCTTCCAACTTCTTCCAAGCCTCATGAGCCATCTCAATATTCTTGATTTGCTCAAATGTTCTCTCATCAATTGCATCATGAATGGCACTTAGAGCAATGTCATTGTTTTGGAGAAGCCCCTCTTCCACCGCGGTGAGATTCTCCGAATCTTCAATCTCAATTTTGGTTTCTACCATCTTCCACACCCTTCTATTGATTGATTTAATATGTGTGGTCATCTTTGATTTTCAATATGGATAATTTGTGCCATAAAATTGGGTGGCTTCTTGGTGTTGTTGATTTGATCCATTTTTACACCGAAAGTTGTTAAGCCTCAAATCACGGTGACATCGGCTCTGATACCACTTGAAAGGTCCTAATGGCTAGAGGGGGTGAATAGCCTAATAAAAATTTCTACAACAACACTTAACAAAATGGTTAGACAATTATGAGGCGAAGCTAGTGTTGCGCTAGCCTACTCAAAATACAAGTCACCTACCATAATTCTAGTTTAGATAGTATCTATTCACACAAAAGCTATGACACTACCCTAAACTTAGTGTACTCTCAAAGACTAACTAAAGAGACACACCAACCAACCAAACAAGCTCTCACAACTAGTTACACTAAAAAGCTTGAAAACTAGTCTGCGGTAATGTAAAGAGTATGAGCAAGATAGTTATACCGCCGTATCGAGGAGGGAGCCAATCAATCACAAAGATGAATAACAATGAAGACCAATCATCTCGGAATCAAAATAATGAACACAATGATTTTTTACCGAGGTTCACTTTCTTGTCGACAAGCTAGTCCTCATTGTAGCGATACACTCACTTGGAGGTTCACGCGCTAATTGGCTTCACACGCCAAACCCTCAATAGGGTGCCGCACAACCAACATAAGATGAGGATCACACAAGCCATGAGCAATCCACTAGAGTAACTTTTGGCGCTCCACCGGGAAAGGTCAAGAACCCATCACAATCACCACGATCAGAGCCAGAGACAATCACCACTCTCCGCTCTACGATCCTCGCTGCTCCAAGCCGTCTAGGTGGTGGCAACCACCAAGAGTAACAAGCAAACCCCGCAGCGAAACACGAACACCAAGTGCTTCTAGATGCAAACACTCAAGCAATGCACTTGAATTCTCTCCCAATCTCATAAAGATGATGAATCAATGATGGAGATAAGTGGGAGGACTTTGACTAAGCTCACAAGGTTGCTATGTCAATGCAAATGGCTAAGAAAGTGAGCTTGAGCCAGCCATGGGGCTTAAATAGAAGCCCCCAGGAAATAGAGACGTTGTACCCCTTCACTGGGCACAACGCAGGGTGACTGGACGCTCCGGTCCGATCGACCGGACGCTGACCCTCAGCGTCCGGTCACGTGATACACGCCACGTGTCCCCTGCTTCAAATATTGTTCATCAGATTTCAACGGTCATCCCCTGACTAGACACTGCGCACAAATTGACCGGACGCTGAGTCTTCAGCGTTCGGTCGTTTCTAGTAAGGTTTCAGAAACGATTTTTCACGACCGGACGCGTCTGGTCGTGCTTGACCAGACACAGCCAACATCCGGTCAGTTACTCTGACCACTGTGCTGCCACGTCAGCTGGGACCGGACGCACCCTTTCAGCGTTCGATCAGTCCGAGACCCAGCATCCGGTCGTTTGACCGAAGCTGGCGTCTATGCTGTCATGTTTGACCGGACGCGCCGGTCCTTCTGTGACCAGCGTCCGGTCACCTTGTGACCAGCGTGACTAACTCTTCTTCATCTCTAACTTCTTCACCCTTGCTCAAATGTGCCAACCACCAAGTGTATCACCTTGTGCACATGTGTTAGCATATTTTCACAAACATTTTCAAAGGTGTTAGCACTCCACTAGATCCTAAATGCATATGCAAAGAGTTAGAGCATCTAGTAGCACTTTGATAACCGCATTTCGATATGAGTTTCACCCCTCTTAATAGTACGGCTATCAAACCTAAATATGATCACACTCTCTAAGTGTCTTGATCACCAAAACAAAATAGCTCCGACAAATTATACATTTGCCTTGAGCTTTTTGTTTTTCTCTTTCTTCTTTCCAAGTCGAAGCACTTGATCATCACCATGCCATCATCATCATCATGATATGATCTTTATTTACTTCACCACTTGGAGTGTGCTACCTATCTCATGATCATTTGATAAACTAGGTTAGCACTTAGGGTTTCATCAATTCACCAAAACTAAACTAGAGCTTTCAATCTTCCCATTTTTTGTAATTGATGACAACCCTTATACAAAGATATGAATTAAAATTCAATTGAATCCATATTGCTTGTCCAAGCATATTTACCATGTGTAAAAGGATATGGACAAGTTTCATGAACTCCATACGGTAGCAATTGCTCTCCCTACATATGTGCTAAGAGTTTGGATTGTAGCTTGCACATATGATTAGATAGGAAATATAGGAAACAATGTCTACTAAATGATGCTAAGGTATAAGAGATGGACCTTTGAAGCGTGATACCATTCGAGTGCACCATTATACCATCCTTAGCATCATGGTTAGCTTAGATACCATTTAAAATCTTTGATAGCTAGATACCACTTGTAAAGTTTTTTAAAAGATACTACTTGCAAATCTATTTGGAATAGATATCACTTGATAATACTTGGAAATGATACCTCTTGTGAATAAGCTTATGCATGCTAGATTTTCATTTCATCATTTAAGTTTACAACTATCATTCATCACACAAGCATGGATATTTATATTAAAACTTGTGTTATGCAAGCAAACATATGAAATGCACATTCAAATGCACCATATAAGTTTATGAGTTTGCCCCCCTACTTGTGTGCTTAAGATTTTAATTGATCCCTATTTTAATTGATCCCTTTCCTTTGTCATATCTCTCCCCCTATGTGAAATTCTCCCCCTTTCACTATCTTTGTACACTATTCTCTCCTCCTTTGTTGTCTTTTCACTATCTTTGTACATTATTTTTCCTTCTTTGTCATCAATGACCACAAAGGTTCAAAATGTAGATAATACCATTTGTAGGGTTGAGATTATCAATGTCAATCAATGAGGTGAGGATCATATTCTCAAATTTGGTTCAAGCTAGATTAGTTGCCAAAGATATTTAACTCGGTTTGATCCAAGGACAAGCTTCTTCACACCTCCAAATAAGGGTTATCTTGTACCATGTTGAGTTAAACACTTAGAGCTC